TCTTTACAATGCCCTTAAAGGAACAGCTGGGCCATGAATAGTCTTCAAAAGTATCCTACTAGAAATGTTCAAAATTTGCATAATTCCTTCAAAAATATCTCAAACTATGAATTTCTTCTCTATTCCTAAAAATGTCTTTCCAAATAAATGACAGTGTTCCAAGAAAAGATGATTAATCTTTTCAACTTTTAAACGCCAATAATTCTGTTCACCAACGGAATTTGAAAGCTTAAATTTCGACAGAGAGCTGTGAACACAATTACTGATTGGCTTAGCTAAAAATTTCATTTTTCTCAAACTAAGGTATGATCAAAAACAATGACGCACCTGTTTCTTTGAGGTTATTAATTTGGCACTTACTTGCTAGATGAACTAGCATATCCTAAGATATATTTCAATATTATCATGTTATTATGTTGTGTGACCTACAAGTTTAATACAAGCTTACACAATCTATCATACTCAAAAACATTACCAAATACACAATTAACAATCAACAATATAGACAATTTCCTACAATCATAACAAAAGAATACTTTCTTCACCCTAAGGTACTAGAGATTAACAGGCTTATATTTAGGGCTGGGTATTGATTACCAAATTGAGATCGATTATCGACGGTAGACTATTGATCAATCAATTAATAAACGAAATATTTTATTGAGAAGTCTTCATAATACTAAATAAATTCATGTCCAAATTATTTAATTCAATGGGTTATTTTTATCATAAAATGATAATATGAATATTCATTGCTGAGATCGGATATTATAGTTTATCACGGGTAAGCTATGTGCTGAAGGGAAAACTTTGTGGAAGAGTGACTATATCACATGTTCACTGGAGAAAATCTGACTTTGAAATATAATCGATTATGAAATTTGATAATCAAAATTACCGGTATATATTACTAGCAACAATAATTGATTATTTTACCCAGCCCTAATTATATTACTAATTATTTGTATAAGATTTGTACAAATTATTTTGTGTATCACAGAAACTGAGTTTGTTGGTCAAATATCAAATACATTTGGAGCAGATAATTTGGTGGTATTTCCATTCAGGTCAATTTTATGTTTGGTCCATTTTCATATTGAAGTGAAAAACTTATTTTCAGTTAATAAAATTTTAATTTATACCAAACTGTCCACATTTTCAATCTTGTGCTGTACCCAAACTTGTATTTTTAATAGAAACTCCAGAACTAAGTATAAAAAGCAAGACTCTAGTAGGCTCTATATTGTGTAAGGTGGTAGTGTGACCTACAACTTGAAATACTATCTAACTATATGATACAATCTAACTTCATTTTAACATTAGCTAGCTAGCTTACTCAACCAGCAATAGCACTATATTACTAGTATAGAATCAAAATATACACCACACATTTACATCATGTCATATAATATGATATAATATAAGTTTATATATAGCAGATTAGTTGCATAGCCATTTGACATTTGGCGCCAAAGTTAATTAGTGCCCCAGAATTACCAGCTGTGATCAAAGTCCTCAGGACAAAAATGTCAAACTCAAATTGGTTAAAATTCACAATGTTGCAAACTGCTCAAATTTTTATCATACAAAGTTTTATAACAATCAGTTTAACTAAATGATGAATTACATTTTCACTATCCGAGATCACTGAGGTTAAGGTGTGTTTTGAATTTTGAAAATGTAACAAACTCACTAAACTAATATTTTTATCAAATATACGTTAAAAACTAAAGTAACCATACAGAGAAAATTTAAAATGCAAGATTATAAAAGTTAAAATTCAGAAAGGGTTTTAATTTGAACTTGATAATCATTCTATGTTTATGTATAAATTCATACCAAAATTTTGATCAAAATCAGATACAAAAAAACAAAGGTTTTAGGGGATTTACACAAACAGATGGTATAGGTGTCAACAATGTATGTCCAAAGAAAGATGTAAGCTGACACAAACATATACATATATATATACATGACAGTTATCACTGAAAGACATTAAAGTATCATTAAAAACAGGTAGCAGAAATTTAGCTTTTTATGCCTTATAAAATATACCTGACTATATATATTTTTAGCTAGACCACTATATTCATATTCATATAGTTCCATATTTGGTCCTCAACAATAATGCAATTTTTCACAGATAACAACTGCATGGCAAAAATCCAAGTGATGACAGTTTTGTTAGTTATTTTGTAATAAAATATGTTGCACTGTGTTAGTTTGAAACCTGTTTATTTACACAATCTTAACAACCTTGTACTAGCATTTCAACTAGCTTAATATATCTTATTCCTTACAAACATTAGTAGCAGTAAAACAGTCATCTCCGTTTCTTACCCAACCTGTTACAAGTCACAAAATTTACTTGAAAATGCAGACAGTGTGATTAAAACCTATGAGAGTTTACCATGCCTAAAGTTAAAGCACATTGTGTAGAGTATCAAAATGCCTAAATGCCTAAGCAATATTCAACTACATTTCAGGTAGTGTCTTAGACAGCCCTCCATGAAATTAACTTTCTAACCTAACTTGATAAAAACTGTCACAAAATGACAGCACTGGGGAGGGCAGAAATTTGAATTAATAATTTTACAAACATTCAACAGGGCTGTCATTAGACCCTAAATGAAGTGGCTATATGAATATTAAAATTAACTAAAAACGTTTTACGTCCTCCTTTTCTGCTATGTAGGCTAATGAAGACGGGCAATGTTATGTAGGGTATAATCAGGTAAATTTTGCCAGGACAGTGGCATTAGCCTGCTCTTTTCCAAAGCATAGGTTCTTAGAAGTGCACAATCTGTAGCACACAGGGACTCAGTTTTATTGTCCAATCTGAACGACTAGACATGTCAGCCCCACTTACTTGCATCACTGACAGAGGTAAAAAACTGAGTGTATCATCTTGACTCACCGAACCACCAAATAATGGAACCAAAGTTTGGTCTGTATTCTACAGATTCAAATTATTTAATAGACATGTTACACTTCTGATCATTAAGGTAGTCTTACTAATTTGAATTTCAAAACAATAATAGCTTTATGTTTTTTTGAATATGCTTGAGAATAATGCTAGACTTACTGAAAAAATAACAAAAGGAAGAAATGTCATGCTAACTAGGTCACGATTGTAAAATATATTGTATGAATTCTCTGTAGATATATTTTGTGTCTGAGTATCCTGATGGGATTTTATTACAAATTTTTAACAAATTGGAAACTATGTCACGAGGGAAAATGATATTGATAGACTTAACTGTGCCTTCAGAATTTTGTTTACACTTACATGCTTATTCGGCGTGTTCGAATAAAAACACTAATTGTGACTGAAAGCTCTCTCCTGGTATGCAACAGCATATGAGTTTTTCTAAAATATCTATTTCTGAATTAAGGTTTGATTTTTACGTTAATGTTATAAGAAGGGAAAAAAATCCTTGTTTTATGAATTTCTGTTTTCTTTTTTTTTTAAATTTCCAAAATATTATTTATATTTACCATTAGTTTTATTTTGCTTGTGAAGCAGAGCATGCTCACTCTGTAACTGAGTATCTCAACTTGGCATCTTTTACATTTATACTTATTATTATATGATGCAAAATGCTGAAATCTCCTGTGAAATATCTGCCACTGCTATATACTTGATATAAAAAAACCTTATAACCAAACCATGCCTGAATAGGTACAAAATTTTTTAAGCACAAGTATAAAGATAGTGGATCACAGCCATATACGCCCACCACGGCATGCAGATGGTAAATATTCAAGATTTTGGGGCAAGGGCAATAACTCTGCTTCTAAAGGTCGAAAATAGATCAAATTCGAACTTGATCTTCGTTGTTTGATTACGTATACACATACTAAATTTCATTTAATTCCATCAAAAAATCTAGTTTGTAGAGCATTTACAAGCAAATGTTGACCGACCAACTGACCTTTGTTTCATGAATATGTATGCACATACCGAATTTCATTTGATTCCTTCAAACACTCTAGTTTTTAGAGTGTTTACGAGCAATTGATGTTGATAGAAGAACTTACTGTATAGAGATTAAAGGGCGATAATTCCTCAAAACTAACGTAAGAGGCCTAAATCTTGAAAAAGCCTTAAATTTAATCAGAAGTAAACTAAACTTTCTTAAACCTTTCGATTTAGATCCAATAACATCCATTTTAAGTTTCATCAAAATCGGTTGAAAACTAATCTCTTGAGAGTAAAAGCATATTCAAGATTTTGGGGCAAGGGCAATAACTCTGCTTCTAACGGTCCAAAATACCTCAAATTCGAACTTGACTTTCGTTTTATGAATATGTATACACATACCCAATTTCATTTGATTCCATCAAAAAATCTAGTTTTTAGAGCGTTTACAAGGAAATGTTGACAGACGGACAGACGTGCAGACAAAATACGTCCACATAGAGAGATGTGGGCGTATAAAAACACACCATTTCTAATATTTCAGTTTCAGTTTCTAAACTACAACCTGGTTTGCATATACCAGTTCAAATGTTATATGCAATTATATGTATGCATCATAATCTTAATACTAATGAATATTCATGAGATCTATTTTTATATTCATAAGCTTATACATGTGTGTATTCTGAGGCAAGTGACCTACTTTTTTATATACAATTTTAATACTTCAATGCAATACTTACAACTTGCAAATCTATATATTGTTGTCATCTTTAATGGATGATAACATCATGGTATATAAGTGGTTGTTGTATTTTCAATCGAAACGGTTGAAGTGACAAAGGTCAATTTACTGAATTATTTAAAGACAAAACAAGAGCGAAGTTGCTTTAGACTGCCATTTTTTTGGGAACGTTTGAAGTTAAGGCAGAAATCACAGAAGCATGAATCCTATCAAGAAGCTAGAAATAACATATGATTTGTTTATTTGAAATATGTTTTCTTGAAAAAAATTCATCTAAGTAATCTTGAAGGCTTCTGAAGATTCATAAATTATAAGTTTATAAATGTCATGTAATCAGTATTCAAAGATTGAAACTGATCTAAATAGAAATATTACAGAAAGTTTGTACTTACTGACAATATTTCTGTCCTCAGCCACCACAGGTACATGGTTATTGTCTTTCTCCACATTAACAATCTGAACTGCTGCAACCCCTTCTGATTTAGGTACTTCAGAACCTCTCTGAATCACTGGTAATAAATTCACCGGGGATGGATGTTGCACTGGTTGATGAAACCTGATACTATGATGCTGTTCAGGGGGTGCCATACTGTTCTGTGGTCTCTTCATTTCGTGTTCATTTGCTCTCATTTGTGGATGCGTGTTTGGAGCAGGTTCAGAAATTCGATTCTGTTGAGCTGAAATAGCTTGGTAGGTTTGATATGTACGTCCTTGCTGCTGTGATGAATTCGTCATTACAGGTTGTCCAAGAGCTTGTTTGATTATAGGAGCAGATATCGTTGAAGTTTGCTGTGAAGCAGCAGGACGATTCTGTGGCAAGTAATGGGCAGATTTTGTCAAGTCTGGATGTGCTTTGGCTGTCATATCAACAGTGCTGTGATAAACACTCTGCTGAACTTGCATACCAGGTTGTACTGCTTTTGTTCCTTGAATACCAACTACATTTGACAAAGATGCTGCTTTAGATAATGGAGTTTTGGGTGTTCTGATATCAATACCAATACCAGAATCTTCACTACGTCCCAAATCTTGCTTGGACAAAGACAAAGCATGTGGTTTAGCTGGTACCGGTAATCCTTTCTGTTGTTGTTGATGGTAGGAGGGAAAACGTGGGGTTATGGGAGAGACGTGTTCAGAGGATGAACTTCCTGACTTTGAGCTCCAACTGCGAGCTGGTGATCCAACAAAAGTATGCTGATATTGAGAGTTAGGATGAGGTGAAATGGGAGTAAATGAATTCGAACTGCGATAAATGCCAGAACCCGCTGGCGACTGAATACGAGGTGAGACAGGAGTTTGAGGAGTTGGGGAGAAAGCTGGTGTACCAGATCTGGAATTTCCAAGAGATACCAACATGTTAGCAGCTTCTGTTTCTTCTGTTTCATATCGTTGCTGGTATTCTCCTTCTCGTGAATCATTCCATTCAAGGTTACCACTATCTTTCATTTCCCCCTTGTGGCAACCAGGGAAAGTGGGTTGTCTCATTCCTCCTTTACCCTTTAACGACAAATGTCTCGAGCAGAAACCTCTTCTCTGGGATTCTTTGGTACAGCCGTCTTTTGAACACAATCTGCGCCATTGTTTTCCATTGAATTTTTTACGGATTCCATTAGGTGTACTAACAACATCACCTTTTTTATATTTTGTATTTGAATTTGGTGAACGAGGGGTGCTGCAGCGACTACTCTCTGTTGATTGAGCACTTCGGCTGCGAGCAGAATCTCTCTTTTTAGGTGGTTGTCTTCTGTCTCTGCCATTTTGTGACCTTGTTCCAGAGCCAGGTGTAGCACTTCCCGATCTGGGTGTGCTCATTCCTGAGGAATCAAAATTCTTTTCAAGTTCATAAATTTCATCATCAGTTTCACTTTGATCAAGAAGTGGAGTTACTGGTGTACCAGCGCTGTGTTGATCTGTTCGCATACTCATTGGACTACGCAGCTCCTGTGTCAATGGTGGCTTTAATGGAAAGTCCATTTCCATTTCCTCCAAATCTTCATACCAAGGAGGCTGCAGAAGACGCAAGTTAGCTCTGGAAACCATTACCTCTTGATCAGGAGATCTGTTCTCAAGTTTGACACGGTAAATAATTGGATTAAGCTTTTTCTCCATAACATAACCAGGATAAAACACATTGGCATCAGAGCTTATTCTGACACATACTCTGGCACCAACACTGACTGTCACACCCCTTGGACTATGGTCACTGATTATTTCTGGTATTGATACATCAAAAATGTGTTGATAATAACATAAACTTGTATCTTCATCAAATAGAATCCCCAAACTAACATTTGTTTTAATGTCCTTAATAACCCCTGGAACATACACACCATTTCTTTTTGCTAACACACGTTGATTTTTCCACTCCTCAAGATCAATAGAAGGTCTTTTTTGTAAGGGAGGAGGTGTTGCAAAAGCTTCTGAATCAAGATCAGCTTTGCGCTTTTTGGGTGGCTTAGCAATAACTCTTTCTGGGAGTTTCAAGTCTGTTAACGGTTGTTCAATCTTAGACATCCCCATTAATGGCTGTGGAATCTGATTTATTGATGGCGCTGATGAGGGGATCACTGCAGGTGAGGGAACATTATGATCCTGAACAGGTGGTTGGTATGTGGAGGGTGAAGGGACTGCAGGTGATTGTGGCATGGACATGGGTAGAGGCGGACTTGGTTTGTTTTCCACTTCATCTTTCGCTTTCGATGTGGAATCTGAACTTGTCTTTCTGGATGTTCTACTTTTGGGAACTGTTTGTTTGGTAACTACAGGAGTCTTTTTAATATCCGACTCCTTGCTTGAGATTCTTTGACTCTGGCGCTTGCTTCCAGTGCTCTCCTCTGAAGTATCAGAGTCTATCTGTTTTGATGGGGTATTGGGTTTTTCATCCTTCACACTATCTTTACTGTCTTCATTAGTTACACCAGTTACTCGTCTACGAGATTTAGTACCTCGCTGTCTTGGAGGTGAAGAACTGTTAGAACGCCCTCTTCGGGGTCGGGCTTCATTTCTTCTCTTCATATTAATAGCACTTCTGTTGCCTGCAATATATAATAAAATTATTTGTTTAATTTATATCCTGATGAGTGTATGGCTTATTAAAGTATTTTTAGAACCTTATTCAATATTTCTTCAACTGCATATGTTTTCACCAAATATATTTAGTAACTGTACAATCACCATTTCATTACCAAATAGCACCAAGTTCTAGTGGATCAAATAAAGGCTTAAAAATTAAGTTTATGGAATGAGCTTTAAAACTGAATATGTAAAAGATATAGCCTTATTATTTATTTATTTATTTTTTTATATTCAAATCATTTACCAACTAGTTCAAAGCATCTAAGGACAACAAGTTTTATTTTATTACCCCTATAATTTAAAAAAAAAAAAAATGTTATCAATTCCAACCAACAGATGACCTAAAATCAATACAAGTTTTTGAATATAATTCAGCTTCAGTTGCCATTTGCATTTCTTATAGATGTCAATCCATTTAATTAAAACGAGATTACAATTTCGTTTCATATTTCTTTTTTTGCTCTCCGTTGTAATCTAAGAAGATTTACACCAGGGAAGTGCTCTGTTGACATTCATATTAACCATTCACAGCCTGTCATGCAGAATCCATGTCTAAATATTGACTTTGATTTGTGGGATAGCGAATCCCAAAGTAGAATAATATGATTTCCAATATTATGACCACTATTATAAGACTGCCCATACTAAATTGTAAAAGAGATTCTGATCTGCGGGAGAGTGGCGGGTGATTGGCTGCTATTAACAGGTTGTAGTGTCACCAGTACACCACCTTGATTAAATCTCATAAGATTACAATGAAGACCAAACAAAAAATAACAACAAACAAAATTTTTTTCTAATTTTAAATAAATTTGATATCAAAATATTGTGAGCTTATCCTTTCCTTAGTGATGAAGTTACTAGCAAACAATTATAAACACTAAAATTAAATAGTTTAACAGCCTAAACGATATGCTACGTGAATCAACAAAACAACACAGGTAATATAACATATATATATTCATGAAGTCAAAAACACTACATATGAATTGATGAGTTTTCTGTTAATAACTTCGTACTAATCTTTTCTATGTATCATTCACAAGAGAAGATACTACCAGCTAAAACTGGGTATGGTCAACTATAGAATAACCTCAACCTGTATCAGAGTTAATACCAATTTCTAACAATTTGATAATGGCCATCGAATCTTTTTTTTTTCATTTCTATCCCTTTCTACAGTGAATAAATACATGGCAAACTACAGGGTTGAGCCTAAACACACAATCACCTTTGACCTCCTCAGAAATTACTCCATCTTGACAATTTGCCAAACACAATAACCTGGCCATTACAAAGATAGGTTGTGGTTAGAAATTGAAAAATAACAGGTTTAACAATAATTTTATCAATGTTAATAAAATCTATGCACAAAACAAATGCTTCTAAAAAAAAAATACCAGTACACTGACATTGTCTTGAAAGACAATTGGCCTTTAATCAGTGTTTTTGTAAACTTTTCTTAATCATATAATATAAGAATATATTTTAAATCATCATACCACAATTAAACAAATCAAATACATAACATTTTCTTAAAAAAAACACATTATATTTGACCCATTAATTTCAGGAGAAATCAAACAACTCTAGTGAATTCAGTGACTTCAAAGAAGTGTATAACAATTACATAGTACTTCAAACTAGAAATTTCACTTTAGTAACTAACCAATTTAACCTACTGAATGAAATCATTAAAATGAACTAAACTGTCATTTGTTCAATTCTCCAGGAATCTCTAATCGAATAATATAACATATGGCCGTGACTTTTATCCCTTTCAAATGATGCATTCTCCATGTCAGCTCTACTGTATTACTACAAGGAGCACTGTAACTTGTTGAAAGACTTTGGCTCTTTGCAGCTGGCCACCCTTCTTGATATGACAGTATTCATAATTTCATAAAAGCTTATATGACTTGGAAGAAAAACAATGGATGTCTGTTCTGTACCCTAACAGGAAAATGATTTGACAAAAATATGACCCTTTGTCTTTGTCAATTGGCAAATTAGCAAAGGGTTGTCATTAAGTGGCATCAGTACGGTACCATAGTAGGCCTAGCCTACAACCTGTCTGGTAGGTGTGGGAATCGGTGCATTGAGGTGTCGTAGGCATAGAAACACCACATTGTAGACCCATCTACCTTTCTATATGCATTACAATATGTAAACAAACAAAACCATAAAATTAATTGTAGATAGGTCAGTGACTATATATTAAATATTGAAATATTCAATGAACATAAAGAAATTTATAAAACCATTAGCAATATTAATTGAACTCTAGAGATAATAGATATTTGGGTATATGTCATCAAGTATAACCAAAAGCCAACATAATATACTTCAAGACGTAAATCTAAAAACTCGAAAATTCCTTTCACACCGCTTTTTAAACTTAGAACACAAAACTGTGTCACCACTTTTCCATTTCGCTTCATAAATCTAGGTCCAATAAACCGATACTTAAAGCTGGATCTAACTTGACACAACAAATGCAAGAAGCAGAGTGTCAGAGGTTTAAACGCATAACAGTGAAAATGCAAAATCCAAATTGCATCACATTCGAGTAATGACATCAAAATTATTACGAAGTCATTGTCAGTCGAAGCGGCTTGTAGAATGGAGAAAAGCGACTCCATCTTGGAAATTTGTGAGAGCATTTTCGTTTTCGACCAAACTTTCAATGCCATTTAGTACACTTTATACGACCATCTGACTTATGAAATTTCACCAAAGGAGAAATAGATACGTTAATAACCTACCTAAAATGTCATTATTTGGATTACTCTTCAATTTCGGCCATTATCTGTGTTTCTAAAAACCACCAGCTAAAAAGATGGCTGGCTAACTTAGATCAAAAATGGTGAATGAGCATAAGAGAGAAAAATTAACGCAGCTGATTGGTGGGTTGAGGCCAGAGAGAATATTGACATTTATTTGATTGGTTGAAATTAATGACCATCTCCTTCATTGTTTATTCATCACTTACTATAGACCTGAAGATAATTGGAATTCTTCCGTTTTATCTGGGTCTGGGTCGCTCTTTTTCAACTAAGAAGACTTAGCAAAGCAAAATGCAAATGGAAGTGCACTAAAATAGCAAAATTAAATAGTACTGTGCACAAGAAAGTGTGGAAAAACCTATGAAAGGGAGGGCGTGGCCTATAAACCCAGCTCGCCGACATCTGCAGAATGAACCAATGAAATTGAAGTTATTTAGGTCAATTTCTATATATGGAATAAGAGTAAGAGATGACGGTACATTTGTATGCAGTTACTATGCAAGTTTACTATTCATATTAATAATCCATGGTACAGGGCGACAAATACTCCCTAGCTTTGTGAAAATCGTAAGAAAAGCTGACATCATTTGCACGAATTTCGAAATTCGACGTAATCTTCAGAAATAAAACCATTTCCGTTTGATTTATAACAAATATAGTATATCGTATGTAAATAAAGACAGATAAATAAGAAGTTTTGATAAAATTAATACACGGGAGATCAAGTTAAAAACCCGCTATGACGGTTACGTACGTAACGTACCGTAGTGGTAGTTCATTGACCTGAATCAACAGCTGCTCAAACTAACTCAATTTCGCGCAATTTTACAATGCAGCGTGTGATGCATCATTTCAAAATGTCTATTTTAAACCGATGAGATATTACTTCTTAATTGTGAAATTCAAGCGGTTGAATACCATATAGGGCATGTAGTTTGCAACAGGTGCGCGTCACGTCGTCTCGTGACGCCGTCACGTCACGTAACGTCACATACGTTATGTACAGCGCGTAAAATATAGCTTTTCATTTATGCTTTCACGTATTCTCAAATTTGAAAATCACGAGTACACTTCTTTAATCATCTGAATGGTTACGCATCATTTAATTTATCACGAGTGTTACACTATGGAGGCTTTATCAAAATAAATAGGCATGTAAAAGCTGAACCACAGAGAATGTGTCAAAGAAGATCTACGAAGAAATGAAAGTTCTGTTAAGTTATATAGTCAATCGACGGGTTACGAACGCTACTCATCGAACTCTCAGACGGTCTACCGTGAATGACGGAAGCTATATCTTGAACTGGACAAAAGTTATTTCACTTTTTGACATCACACAAACTGCATCACAGAGGATGTGTCAGAGAAAATCTATGAAGAATTAAAGGCTTCGTGAAGGAAGTTATATAGTGTAACGGAAACTAAAAAGCTAGTCATTGAACTTAAACGGTCTAGTGTGATGTTCCCCTGGCGCTGATTGAAACTGTCAAGGGTTTTCTAATGTATCGAACTGTTTCACAATATCTTCAAAGTTATGCTATTTTGGAGAATAAAATGGAACTGCCACCCGAATCTACAGCTCAAACATATTCCACCACAGCTACTTCCATTTTCGTAGGCCTATTTATGATGCAAATATAAGAACCCTCATTAGTGCCATGTCCCGCATAATTGCAAGCATAGATTATCATCACGGCCGTCATACAATATGGATATAACTTATCGTAAATATATAGCAGTGGACGATATAACAGGACGTTGTTTCTAAATGTAAGGCATCGATTTTACTGAAGCTGATGTATTGGTTGTTACATTGAACTAGGTAGGAGTTGTAAAATAGGTCAGTTTAGCAGTGAGATAATGTCTATAAATAACTTACCATTAGCTTACAATCCTTGGAAGCAAACATGGCTTCCGTCACAATTTTTCCAGCTTACATTTCAAAGACATCGAATATGATATTTTTATTTTGAAGCCAGCTTAGTAGTAAAGTCAAAATATTAATATTTCCTAAATGCTTTAATTGATTAAGACAAATTTCTCATTTTATTGTCATTTGGAATCACGTAGGACAATTACACTACCACAATCACATACTTGGATTTCAGTTTCGGGTCCGAGATTTCTCCAAATCTATCACAACTAGATAATTATAAATACATTAGACTCATATCAAATCAAGCCGACAAACACCTATATATCTGACCTACTTTTATATGCAATCAAACATGACGTATATTGTCTGTTCGATTCCTTCGCGTATATCGTATAAGGGGAGGCAACTCATTCGATTAAACGATTGTGTTCGGTAGTTGAATACCGGTTCAGGATTGGTGTATTTCTTCAAAACCCGAAGTTTTTTAATTAGAGAGGGAAAAATGTCGGTGTTACTGAAAAGGATCTGGGATTCTTTCAACCTTTGTATGTGTATCCGAAAATCCGCCCATTGTCAATCAGTTGGTTATTCTAACTATATCCGGACTATATCCAGGCAGCTTTGTGGTCCAAGGGACAAAGTTTCAATGCTATACGATGAGGGCTAAATGCTTAATTAAGATCCTGGACATATTCGAAGTCATTGTTATTTGGCAAAAATTATATAGATCCTTGTTGACGTCACATTAGAATGCACTGAATATTGAAATACATGTACATTATTTGAACAAAGTTGACAAACCCTATCGCAGACTGTTATCCAGTCGAGATCAAATGTCACGCCAAATAGCAAATGTATAGTTAACAACGCAATAGTTGACAATAGGTGTACTATACAATTAGCATAAAAGAACAGGCCAAAGATTTCCCTGTTGTGATATAATGTAATAATCGAGAATTACTTTATTTTAAAATTTACATCAGCTGCTTCAAGAGAAAATACCCGTAACTCGTAAATTGGTTAGCCTACACACAACCCACTGCCCTAGTAAGGGGGCTATTAATGCTACTCTTTTATCTTGTTACCAAATAATAGATCACTACAATTAAGATCATTATAAAATTTTAACAAAAATCAAGTAAGTTAGACCCAGAAATAAAAGAAAATCTATATAGTAATGGTTAAATTGAAACTGGAACAAATTGTGGGTTTGCTGGGATTTTCCTTGAAAGATCCGTTGTTCAAATTGTGTGCATAACCTATCCTGTCACATGACGAAAAATAATAAAAAATACATGTTTCTAGATAATTTTTCAGACTTAATTTGACTGTTTAACACAAATAAAAGGTCCTAAGCCTATCCGATTAGAATTTCGATAAGAGTTATGTCCCTTAGCCCAATTGCAAAAACAAACCAGAATTGCTGTGGTTTACCCTTTCGTTGGACAGAAATATTCTACTAAAACACTCTAGTCGAAGAAAACTGGCTAATATGCCTATCATGTGAAATTTAGTTGCGCTATGCTATACCACCATTTTGTATATTGATATTATAATACGATAGTTGGTAAATCTTGACCCAAAAGGTGTCTTTTTATATGAGAGGGTGGTCGGCTCACAGAACATCAGT